AGGGGCTCCTGGCCTTACTAGTAGTAACAAGAAGCTAGTAGAAACAACAAGTCCGGGTCCTGTCCAATCGCCGGTCAACCCACCCGTGACCCACTTCTCTCCGCCGTGACACCGCTTCTTCATGGGCTCGGGTCTCAGAGCGTCGCCGCTTGGCCTAAACCAGCGCCGTTTCCGAAAAGGTGGGGCCCGTGGTAGGGACATTCAATCCATTTGACTGGACACCATCAATGGGACTGGTATATGTTAGTATGTTAGTATATAGAAAATATTTGATGTGACATCTTCCAGTGCGAGCAAGGTCCAGATCCAGCAGGAGGTATCTTTCACGAACTCGAACTGCTTAAAGAAACTCTTGATTAGTAGTAGGATACTCTAAAAACAGTACTTTTCTGATCTTTTTTGTGGCTTCGGTGCACAACTCAGAGCAGCAAGCTCTCTTCGTTATGTATTTTTTTACCAAAGGTATTGGCAGGCCTCATTGTCCTGCAAGAACTTGTTGAATTTCACCAACTGGTTCTGCAGCTGAAGATCCTGCGACCACTTGGAACTGACTCACAGCCAGCGGAAGGATCCTCAACAATTGGCCATCGTAGTACTGCGAAGTTCACTCACGCACTCAACTGGTTCGCAATGTACAGGTCTACAGTCAAGACTTTCCACTTCATCAAGCTTCATCATTTCTCCCAAGGCACTCGGCCATTGGATTGGATGGTCGGTCCTTTACTCGCAGCTGTTCCTCCTTTTTCCGGAACTGCTCTTCCTCCTTGGCAAAGCGCGCCTGGATCAGAGCAGGTGCAGAGACTGAGGTGTTTCACCCTTCACAAATGAGCACAAGTACCCCAAAAATCAACCCTAGCGCCTAGCACAAGGGCCGCCCTGAAAAGGTATTCGCACTGTGGTAATATTTGTATACTTTCAAGAAATCACTGCCGCAGGCGAGCGTGGGCGTGAAGGGATGTTAAGGGTATGGTCTCATCAACCTTCATCCACCTCTGACAGTTGAATACAAATGCCCCTAACAACTCCTATGAACCAACCCTTACAATCCTTACCTCACGATTGGTGTTCTATCACAGGACCCCCACCCAGAGGACGTGCCACCAAACACCTCTCACATCGGCAACCTCCCAGGCCGGCGCAGTCGTGAAAAGTGCTGAAATCCGCCTTCTGGTTCTCTAAAGCATCCTGCACCTCATACCTGCTATTCAGGTGGCTGATGAAGCACATGACTCCAAGAATGGCTCAAGCAATCAAGACTACTATAGTCAGCAACAAATGTTGTTTGTTTTGGGTGGACACTCAGGGGAGACTGTGTTCCAACAAGTGGGGGTTGGCTCGACAGGGTATTTCCGTGTCGTAGCTTCCCCGTCGTCTGGTTTCACCAGCAGAAAGGCTTGGGGGGCCGCACATTTGCCGGCGCTTCTCCAGAAGCCGCGTTGCAGGGTTGACATTGTCAAAGAAAAGCTGCTGCCTTGGGAAGCAGTGATGGGGTGCTTATCTGTTCAGCCAAAACGGGGAAGCAACTCAGTCGTCTCCTTGTGTGATCTAAGAAGCGAACGGATGCTTGGGGATGGTACCTGCGCTATGCAGCCGTGGGGAGGTCAGCATACCTGGTAGGGTTTCCCTTCAGCCTCCAGTAACTGCATTGAAGTAACCTGGAGACTTACTTCTAAGAAGCTGCTCAAGGGGCCTCTGTCGCCATCCAGCCCAGTTGCCATGGGCCTTCGTGTCAGCTTGTCTGCACAAAGCACACACTCCCAAACAACCTCAAACACCAATCTTTTTCATATCCCGAGGTGAATGAAGCAAATAGCACGCCATCTCAGCATCTTTACAACTACAAAAAACATCAAAAGAATCCTCTGTATATAAACCGGAATATAAGTATAAAATAGTAAGTGTCAGTATATCTATCTGTCTATCTTTGTAGTATATCCTGCATCCGATCTTATCCTGGGGAGACCCATCCGTCCGACCGCAGAGCCTGTCGGCCTCACGGGCCGGAGGCCGAAACCCGGTCGTTTCCACCGCTTCTGAGCCAGTCCGCCGTCCGCCGTCGGCCAAGGTGAGCTGCTTCACATGACATGCCGAGGTGAGCTGCCCCAGGCCCGAGCTGAAAACCACCGGCTCTGTGGCCTGAAATGGCCTGGACACCTCAAAACCAGAGGTGAAAAATGGAGGGGAGCCCTGTTGAAAAAAACATGCACAAGCTGGGATGTGGCCCCGCAATCTCCATCATCATTGATCATAGCCGTGCTACAAGTATATATACTGTATTATTATATGTTGTGCTATAGAAACATTACAGGAAATCCAAATAAATCCAACACTTCTTTGAATACAATTATCCAAAGGATAGTTCTTACCTCGCTCTTGACGGACAAACATACATGTTCTGAGACCACCAAGCCCAGGAGTGCAGGGAGACATCTTCTTTCGCCAACCAGCTCTGGTCAGCGGTTAGCACAAGTGCTTGGCTTCATTAGCAGCGCATGCGGACGCCTCATCGATGCAAGAAAGATCAAATTGTCAAAGTATGTCAAAGTCTTCCAGCTGACTTAAAACTAGAGTGTATTTCACACCCAACATCACCCAACCACACAGTTGCTGATGGGGGCCTTTACCAATTCCCACAGTGACCAAAGTGTGTTCCTTTCAACCGCCGCCACCGAACACCTTCGGCGCCAGCGCGGTGCTGGGCGTCCCCCAGGCGGGACTCTCTCCACCTGGCGAAGAAGCGGACACCGGGCCAAAGTGCCTCAAGCTGGAGAAACCTCTGAAATCTACTGGGAGTGCCATGTTCATTCTCTTCAAACGCAGCACCATCATCCAATGACTGGGAGTCACTGGTCACCCTTTTTGCCGACCCTGCAAAGCGCTGGGGCTGGTGATTGGTCTGATTGGTGCCTCTCCAATGCGGATCAAGAATGCCGGCATGGACAGGGCTTGCAACTTTGGGCAATCTTAAATCAACTGCTGATGCATCCCCCCCCTCACATGTCTCGAAAACTGGAAAACATGTGCAAATTTGCCGGAGGCACGGCAATTCGCCATCAAAGAGAGTCCGGAAGTCATCGTTGCCTCAGTATGAACAAGCCATGCTGAAGTCTTATTGGGCAAATGAGGATTGTCAAAATGGCTGTATCAAACTGACAAACCCTCTTTGACATTCTTTGACCAAACATGGCCATGTGATGTGATGCTGATTCAACAATCAACGTTTCCATGGGTTCCCTGACATGCCAAACAGAACCAACCAGCGACGGTTGTACAAGCAAGATGGTTCAGAGTTTCTCGGCATGTGCCCATTTCTGCCAGATTTGTCCGTGCGCGCACGTTTGCATTGAATGAACTCAAGGTCAACAGCTCACCGAGCTTAAGTCTTTCTTCGGCTCATCTGAGGCTTCAGGCTTGGAACCTTGACCTCAGCTTCCCAATCTGCACAACTTCAGATGCGGAGCTCTTCGCTTCACACGTACGGAGGAGAGCGATTCGACACGGTCGCACCGAGAGCTCTCCACATCGGACGAGTTCTCAGGCTGCTGCGGGAAGACAAGGGTGGCAAATTGGGCACCTCAGATGTTCAAGTTCCTCTCAAGCGAGCTGGTTCCACGCCTGATGGCCCTCCATTACTCCATCCACCACAACAAATCCAGTAACCAGCCTTTCAACATACCCTTGTGACATTTCATTCAACTGCGCTCGCAGGGACAGGTCATCTTTTTGTACCCACTGCTCTAGAATTGCAGAAATAGCTGGGAAGGCAGACGTTCTTCAACGTCATTCTTGGTGAAGTCTTGGAACGAGCGCCTCAGAAATGGGATGGACATGCATTCACATCTGTAGCCGAAAGTGACAAATTCAAACAGGCTCACACTGTGAGGATTGCCAGGATTCCCAATGTCCATCCAAATGTGGGATGTAGATGGAAAGGACTCACTGTTGATCAGATTGCCAAGTTGCTTCCCAAGTATATACAGTAGATCCCTAGTATGGTCGGTGCTTTCGAGGCTTCCTCTATTGTTCCCCCGTTTCTCCTTAGCTTCAGAAAAAGCGCTCTCTCAGTTCGCCCTGACGCCGGCTTTTTCTGGCCCTCAAAGAAGGGAAAACGGCGTCACGTGACGGACCGTTCTCCAGGCTTCCACACTTTGAGAGCCGGAAGCAGAAGCTTTGATCGACGAGCCCATCAGAGTCTTCCGCGGTCCTGGGCAACGGAACGCCCCAGGACCACGCCCCAACGCAGAGCAGTTTTGTAGTTACCCATCTTGGAAGCTATAGACTACCTGAATCTACGTGACTATGTGTCCCTTAGTTGAGATCCGTTCGAACCTTGACTTTTAGGGACATTGGTGTGCAAGTTCCTTCAAACATCTTCAAACTTTGTCCTGATCTGAGACGGAACATGATCTGTGCTGAACAAACAAATCCTCTGGGCTTTGTTTGAGGATCTTTGAGGCAGCCAAAAACACACTGGAAATCTTGAGAGGCGGTTGAGAAGGTGGTCTTCGTGGCTCTAAATATCTAGGGATGTCTCACCAATCTGTCCCCTGCAAAGGCATTGGAAAAAGAATCCATCCGCTCAGAGATTAAGAGGCCAACTCCTTTCAGTTGACTGGTCTCTGTCTTGCTTCACCTGCTCACAAACGGGAAAACGTCATTCACCGCACACAGGGTGGGATACTGACGAAACCAGAAGCAGGGCTGCCAATGTCAATCTGCCCTTGTTGCACCTTGTCTTGCATCTGTTGCCGCAGAGCCTGACATCTCACTGGTGGGAGAAGAAGAACAGGAATAGAAGGTTGGTACCAGAGTCTCTTTTGGGACCAAAGGAAAGCCCCCAAGCCTGGAAGCGTTCTTTCTCTTGTTGCTTTTGCTCCTCCAAACTCCTCTTGGCCTCTTCTTCCAAGGCCTGGCATGACTTCTGTGGAAGGGCACATGCACACTAGCTAGATACCTCCAGTCTCCGCCTGCGCCACTGCCACTGCATTGACCCCCTGCAATCAAAAAGGCGAAATGGTCATGATCTTTCATTTCACACCCTCGTCCTTGAAGTACTAATTTGAATCAATAAAGGCCCTGAACCCCTTCAGACAGCAAGCAGGACGCTGATGGAAAGCCAGGTGAATGACGGGTTTTCACGGGAGATTGCACAAGCTGTGTAACAGGTCCACCGGAGTTGTCCAAAATTCCTTTTCACAGCAGCCACTATGCAACAACCCGCACTACCCTCTATCCACCCTGTACTATAGAATCTGTTCCACCATGCATCACTGATCACTATGTGGGTGTGTATTTTAACCAGGAGATCCTCTTGCCCGGTAGACTGGGTAGACTGGTCTATTTCCCATCTTCCAGAGGGTCTTTGGGGGTCTCCCTATTCTAATACACACCCATGTATTGAAAGATTTCTCAAGGTGCGGACCTTCGCATCTTCCACTGGTGGCTGGCCCGCTTGACCTGCAAAAGTCCATGAAGTTCCGGAAGTGATGTCAGTGACCTCACCTGCTATGTCGTTTTTACTTTGTGTTTTTCATGTTTATTGTGTGTTTCTCTTGTTTTGCAACAAATCATTCTTTTGCTAGAAATCAACTCTTCCATGTCTTGCGTGCTGATTGGGATGGCGTGGACACAAGGAATATGCCACTAAAACATCCAAACTTAAACATCGTCTGTATTATGATAATGGGCTCCTGCGGCTCCTGCGATCTTGCAACTGCAACAGTTCCCTGGTCCTTTCTTCAATCGCTCTAAGTTCCCGGCTGGCGCCAACAGCAACTTGACGTTTGGCCCTGGGACCAAATGATACAACATGATACAACCATGCAAAAGGGCACCCATGTCACCCTAGGCACAACAAATCAGATGGGTCAAATCTTTTGAGTTGGTGGGATGACTGTGGAGCACGACCAGTTGAATCCTGTGGCATTGAAACTAATGGCCAAATCTGCAAAGCTCTACACACACTTGGCTTGCCCTGCACCCACTCCGGACCCGGCAAAGCGCCTCCGAAGCTTGTCGCGATAGCGGGCATTGGCCATGGTCTCCAGCAACTTTCGCTCAAACTCGTCCATGGAAGCATCCCGCTGCTGACGTCGGATAGGGCTTCGCATGGCGACGGCTCGGGTGCGGACGGTGATGGCTCGGTCATGTGAGGACGTGTCGGCACTGCGTGAGTGAGGCGACACGGAGAACCTCCCTTGGTAAAAAGCCATAGATGCCAGTTTGAGATCTTTCGCAAAAAACATCCCATACACATGCTGCTGTAATTTCTCAATATATATACAGTATATAATATAAAGATATTCTATGATACTGATACTCTTGGTTGATAGTGAACCTTTGTGAACCTATAGGGTAAAGGTTGTGAGAGCCATCAAACTCAAAGCAGGACAGCCCCCCCCAACATTCCCCAGCAGCCTCGCGCTCCACGTGCACTAGCGGCTTTCCGTCGGAATCTCGCGTGCACTCCACTTTGAAGATCTGCTTCACCTGGGCAAGGGTCTGACAGACACATCTATCTAGAATCTAGACACACCCAAACGTTCCATGTAAGCCTACAGTACAGTCACCCATAAACCCCGTAGATTCAGGTGCTTTCCATGCAGTCCACTTGGTCGTGTCCTCGCAAAACACACCAGCCAGGTGCCAGTGGGGTCTTCTGGCTGGCGGGGTCTTCCAGACTGCCAGTGCATGTGTTTTTTCCTACGGGACAAGTGTGAAAAAGAGCAGTCCATCAACCCCTGCTCCGCAATGATGCTCCATGTACTTGGCAGCCTTCTTGACGTGTTTTGACCGAGGTCCAAAGGTGCTTTGCTCGTTCCCCACCTCACCAGCCCCAGCAGACCTAGGGCCCCGTCTGCTTGGTCTGGATTGTAGGATTGATTCGGCGGAGTCCTTGGCATGAAGTGCCAAGAAACTTGTTGGTTGAGGGCAAGGCTTGGAGATGCTTGGAGGATACTTGCATGGACTACTACTACAAACAAACAAACATGGAAATCGAGGCCCTCATTTCCAAGAGGTTCAAAGCAGCAGTCACGAACAGGGGAGGGGCTTTCCAAAGGGTTGCTTGTTCCAGGAAACGTGCATCATCCATCATCATCCCACATGTGTTGGAATAGAGCTGCCCAGCCGTCATCATGCTCGGTTCCCGGCTGTGCTCGTTGATCCCAGAGCTTCTCCCCGCGACCGATGCGCATGAGAGTCTGTCAAGTCCAACCCAAGAGCGACTTACGATGACTGACGCCAACTGCTGGGCTCAGCAATCGGAACCTCACACACCCATGCAGTTGCCCCAAATGACTGTTCATGATCGCCAGCCTCAATTCCTCATGATCAAGTAGAAGGATGCTTAATTACCAACATCTATTGATCATCAAGTGCTTTCGATCTAGCATGATCTAACATATCTAACGATGTTGGAGCCCCAGGACTCGCGCAGGACTCGCGCAGGACGCGCGCGCCGGACTCGACCACCTCATCTTCCAGTGCACTCCCGCCGATCATCGGCACAGGGTCTTCCCTGCCGCGTTCGCCGAGGAAAATCCGGACTCGACGCTCGACACGGGACAGCCACCGATGGCCACCGATGCGATGTGGACGGATGTGGGTGAGCAATCTGAGTAGCCAATATGTTCGATGGAACCAAATACCAGATAATACAAGCACTAAATCTCATATGTTCAGCCATGTAGCCTAATCTAAATAGAATTCACATGAAGGCCAAGCACAGTGTCCACTGGGAGACGAAACGATATATTGTCATGCGGCCAGGCAATCTGATGAAACTCCCCCTCCCGGATTTGGATGGGGAAGCCTCTTCATATTGATGAATCAACCGTCTACCGTTGGCATGTCACCTGTCTGAATGAAGATGGCACCAGGTTATTGTGTTCATTTGGTTTCCACTTGGGGTCAAGTTGACAGGTCAGCGGCACCGATCCACGATGCCGCGGCTGGCAGAGCCTCGATGCCGCGGCGGAACGGGAAGGGAGGACCGACGGCTTTGACGCCCCAGAAGGCGAGAACTCGCATGTTCTTCCAATTCGCCGGCAAATCCAAGAACCACGCTTGTCAAAGATGTCAAACAGAAGATAAATATAAGTTCGATTGGTAACTTCATCTTTCACAGCTCGCTGCCATCTGCAAGGAAGTTGAAGGGAAAGCATTCGAATTGACCGCTGCGCGAGATTTCATCCAGCGGCTGTTCCAGCTCCGAATCTCTTCCAACAAGCCGCGCTTGTAGTGGTCCCACCTGTGGTCACTAGCTGGGTCGAGTGAGGACATGTCGTCGAAATGGAGGAAAAGGGAGACCCCCAGGCAACGACCCCCCTGGGAAGGGTGTCACAGGCCAGTCTACCCCCACGGAAAAGAGGCGTCTCTCAAAACCAATGGATTGACGAGTCACGTGGGCCTCTGATTCTCTTCGGTCACATCGTCCAACAAACACTTCTCAGCCGACCAAGGGCAGCTGCTATCTCACAAAATCATCACGCCTGTGTTTCTGCACCAAGCGAAAGATGAGTTGCTTGTCAGAAAGCCTTGCCTCCAACAAGACATGTGCATCAGTACAACAACTGAAGCATCATGATCTCATCAATCATTCCCAATCTTTGGTTCAGATCTATCATCACCATCTGCTGGCTTTGCATGGCTTTCCTGATTTTCGGATCCTTTCTTTCCCTTGGCTTCCATAATCTATCTACTCTCTCTCTCTCTCTCTCTCTTTCTTTTGCCTTGTAGTTGCAAAACAGACGATGGGTAATCGGTCGAGGACCGTTCCTGGCTACAAGTAGTTCAAAGATTTCGGTTGTCTCAAAAGCCAAAGTGAAAACCGAAGCTTCAAGTCCTGATGAAGTCGAACCTGGAGATGGAGTAAATCTCGGCCAGAGGGGAGCAAATCACCTCATCACAGTCTTTCTCCATGCCCCGCAAAGCGGCTCGAAGCCTCTCTAGGTGGGGCATGCAACAATTAAGCCTTACAGAGCTCTTACACCAAGGTGGATTGTGGAGGATGACATGTCACGTCTAAACCACCGATTCAGGCACATGTCCATCCCCTTTTTGCCAGCAGTCTTTCCTACTAAAAAGTCTTTGAACAACTCGACTCCTGCGCGCCACGTGCCGTGCAGAGCACCGCCACTCGCACCGTCGAGCGCTTTTCGAGCACGAGCCACGCTGCATTGGTAGGTGAGGCCCTCCATGAGCTCCATGACGCCCACGGAGCTTCCTGGATAGCGACCCTTGTTCCGTTCGTAGCTACGGCCAGGTTCGCCCCGTTCGAGTCGCGTCCGAACGCTCCGGACTCGAGTCGCGATGCCAGGAGCCCGTTTGTAGCGAACCTTGTTCCTAGCGGGGAAGAAATTCTGTGGCGGAAAGAAGGAAAGGAAAGGAATGAAAAGACTCAGGGGGTCGAAAGACTTGGGAGATCTGGGAGTACCTTTCCCTTGACCCAACAAAACAATGAAATAGAAAGTCTTGTCTTGTTGATCTGTTTCTCCTTCAATCACCATTTTAAACTGCTGACTTTCCAGCTTAAGACGACATGATGCCGATGGTCCACGAGTGAGATTACAGAGCTTTGTGATATCAGCAAACATGTAGGCCCTTGCGGGACTTGGAAACTCAACATGCTACGATTAAACTATGTTCAATAGAATACTTACATTCTATAATTCAGCGGCCACAGAACAGAACAAGCACATGTCAAATACTTGTCCATGGGCGATCTTTGCCGGAATTTGCCTTCACTGTCTCGTCTTCACCGCGTCCCGCCAAAAGAACAAAGCCACGCGACCTGTCAAAGACGCGCGTCGCGTTTGACCGCGCGAGACGCGGCTCGTCGCGGTTTCGTCGCGGGCGCGTCGATTGGTTCCTTTGGAGATCACATCCACCACCACCCTCAAGCTGCGACCCTTCTCCGGCGGCGCCTCGTCATTGCCTAAGGACCATGTGGGGTGCGCAACCGCGAAACCGGTCACCGCGAGATTGGAAGGTGTTGCGAAATGGCTGGGACCTCAGTCTGAAAACACCTGTTCAAATTGATTGTTTCCCATACAACCAAATGTTGCGAACCAATATCGGATTCCGGGCAATTGGTGGCAGAAATGTGGCTCCATTCAAGCGGTCTTGGATTGGTAGCACTCTTCTCAAGTTCTCTGGAGGCCATGTGCTTTCCGAAATTCCAAGGTATCATGACAATATCAGTATCATCTTCCTGCTGATCTCTAAGGTTCAGGCTCAGGATTTCTGTCCTGAGGGGACGTGACAAACTTGCCTTGCCAAATTGACGCAAAGAAGATTACACAACCACGCAGGACCATCAGCATCCAAAGGAAACACAAAAGGATTTAGGGTAGTCCATTGGTGACTCCCTTACATGGTATTGGACTTTGGGACATTTAAACTTAAACCTGAAAAAGTGAGACTTAATTTGGGGCGCCTGTCCTGGTCCTCTTCTCCATAGTCTTCAAAAGGCTCATCTGGTGAGAGGCTTCATCGCCTTGAACCAGTCGCAACATGTTCTTCAACATCTGGTGAGACTCCAGCTTCAGGGTCTTCCTCGCCATCTGACAGCCGGTCTTCGGTTCTGCCACTGGAGTTGGCTTTTGTGGCTTTGGTCGTGGCCAAACGCCCTTTTCACCCACACGCAAGCCTTCTTCGCCTTCGGCATAGGGGTTCGGCATGGGTTCGGCATAGTTGGCGTAGCGACAGAACACCTTGGTGAATTTGGGATGGATTTCCCGGACAATCTTGCAGAAGCCGCTCTTCACGAAGATGATCCGCTCCACTTCACTCCCTTGGCGGATGATCTCATGCTCTCCGATGTAGGTGTCCTCGGTCAAAGATGAAGCCATCGCTTGAAGGTCCACCTGGAAGCTTGATTTGCGCGATTCACTGCTTTGGGAACAACCAAAAGATTGTGTGGTCTGGTATCTACACGGTTTAGAGTGCCATTCTTGGCTCTTTGTAAGGAAAGCAAGCGATGTTGTGTTACTGTTTATATAAATATGTTTGGCGTCCCGTAAGCCACGCCTGTTTGTGTGTGTGTGTGTCGACCCCTGTTCCTAAGGGTTTTGGTTTCTTGCATACGGCTAAGTAACCACTTGTCCACGTCTTGCAGCTAAGTATTCACAGGCCGGGCATGTACATGCATAGGCACACACACAACCCCCCCTACCCCTGGGCCTCGTTGCTACCCCACCCGCTTTTCGAGCAACAGAAGGAAATCGCACTCAACACACTTGTGTGTTGGTGCCTTTCCTTCTGTTTCTCCTAGCTATTGCTAGCTACCCGGGCGGTTTAAGACAAAATGTCCCGCTCGCACTCTACTTTCATTTAACTAAGTGGGCCTCGTAACTACACCTATCTCTCCTTCTTGCCCTCTTAGTCTGCTTTTGTTTTGTTTGCTTTTTCTGTCTTTCTAAGGCTTTTTAGGTCGCTAGTAGTCTTCACAAAACGCGCCAATATTGGCGCTATATGTACAAAGTTTTGCGACCGGTGGACACCAACGACGCTACTAGGGGCTTCTGGCCTCGCTATCAGGAGCCAGGACCTCCGACCTTTCTACAAGGTGTAAGGACGCTACTAGGGCCCCTGGCTTTGCTACTA